TAACGATGGCCTAGCTAACAGGTCAGTACCTACTTTGCAACAACTGGTCCAGAATTTTCATCGTGAGATCCAATGCTGGATGGTACAAAATCAATTCCTTCTCCTGATAACACGGTTGAGCTCGAGCCAGCTTCCGCGTTTATGCATGCATGTCTCACTAATACAAGTCCATGTGGAGCTCGAGCCAGCGGTGCGGGAGCATGCACGTTCTCTAGTATGAGTACCAAGTGACTCTATCCGCCATCAAAAAAGATATTCATTGTGATGTATCTCTTCATTCATTATCCAACTCATTCCCAGATGGTAGCTCAAATCTGTTTTTCTTGCTTTCATTAACTGGCATATCATCCTCAGCATCATCCATGGCGGATTCCTTCTTGAAATAATCTACCTTGAAGTCATAATCACTATCCATCATATCACTAGTAGTAGAGGCTCTGTCTTTCTTCCTCCTTTTCTTCTCAGCTTTTCTAAGTTTGGTATTTAGCATGCCTTCCTCGGAATATAACTTCTCATTTTGTCTGCTGCTAGCACTCTTGCCACTTGTCCGGCCTGCATCATCTTCTCCAGCATCCATTGCCACATCTCCCTCATTATTAACAAGGTTGTCCATTGCATTATCACTCCGAGTCACCGGTTGCTCCAAATTGTCCTGCAGTTTAAAAAGAACACTTTGTATGATAGATGACACTACTTGTTCAGACATGGATGATGTAAAGGATAACATTGCAAATTCAAGAGTACATGTTCTGTTTTCTTAAAAACAGAAACCTGCAAGATAATCATTCATAAAAAAAAGCTTTATAAATTCTACTTGTGCTTCTTCAACTCTAAATTCACAACTACTAATGTTTTTTATTTGTGCATGTGTATGGTCAGGAATCAGCAATGATTCAGTACTACTTGTACATAATACACTGATAGAAACATTTCAATTTGCAGAGCAAGTGAAGAGCAGTTACAGAACTTCCAAGGAATGTCAAAAGGGTCTGATCAGAAAAATAAGAAAGTCTAAAAGCGAATAACTTACCTCTAGTATGGTCTCGTCAAAGTTAACAGGACGGTTTGACGGAACTTCAACTGGGAGAAAATCATCGACTGATTTGAGGCTCCCAATAATTGAGGATTCACTTCCATAAACTTCATCGACATTGAATTCTTTTCCAAGTTCTGAAACTATCTTTACCTCTGAATGCTCTCCCTCGTTCCTAGATGGGGGCATGGTGTAGTATGGTATTTTCCCTGAGATGTGTCAAACAGTTATTATTACTAGCATGAACATAGAAAACCTCATCTTTTTCAGATTCAACTTGCCTCTTGAAGAAACTAAACAGTTACCACACATACCTTCATTCCAGTCATGCAGAACAATTCTTGCAGCAGCATCAGTGTCAACAATTCCACCCTTTTTTAGCCTACCCCTAACAGTAGCAACTTTCTGAAGGAAGTCATCGACTGAATCAAAGCTAGGAACCTTGTATATAGTTACTAACATGCTGGACGGACACAGTTTGAGTATCTCCTTTACTGCACAACCCACAATATAAGAACACTCAGCCACATCAATCTACCATTTAAATAGCACACAAGAGTAATGCAAAAGATGCTAACCAAATCTACTTACCAGGACCAACTGGGTCATCTAACTTCTCTATCCTCTTGCAATTTCGAAGAGCAATAGCTGCATCATTCTCTGTTGATGACCTAAGCATCACAATCCCAGGGCAGTCCAACAACTTTACATTTTTATCTAGCTGGACTTCTTGCATGGATCTTGTTAACCCAGGTGTAGCACCAACATTGACTACGTGAGATCTCTTCAAGCTATTAATAAGGCTACTTTTACCAACATTTGGAAGACCAATCACACCGACAGTGATTGATTTTTTGATCTGCAACAATTAACTTAGGATTAGCATGGAACCAGCATAACTAAAGCAAGAAATGCAATATAATGACATCAACATTGACAAAAAAACAGGTAGGTTAATTCATTGCCCATACACCAAAGTCCTCTGGAGTACACTAAATTTTTTTTATGTTATTTTCACCCGTCCTTTTTCCCCAGACACCCAAAAGGCCAAGAAATTTATGGATAAAAAGAATGGCATCCCTATAACGAAAAAAAATAACTCCAAGTATCATTGGGAAGAGTTAATACACCTGTTAGATGGTGGTACCTAACTAGGTGAATCTACAGGTGGTTCACACCACGGGGATCTTCGATGTTGAAAAGCTATGGCAACTGCACATGAGATAGCAACCTAGAAGCAAATTACTGTGAACAGGAGAATGGAGACATGGTTGAAGAGTGAAGAGTTGAAGCATTTCTTTTGGATTCAAAAGTCTACCCATCTTTATCTACCCGAATCCCGAAGCATATGAAAATCAATCAATCAACTATGCTTCAATTCCAAATAAGTTGGGTCAACTATATAACCCTCTGTATCCAATTTTCCCTATTCATGGCCTAATGGATTCAAATGCTGCTATAACTGTCTGTTAAGAAAAAATAGGGTTATCTACTTCTCATACTTATTCCTATACCAACGTACAAGTTGTTGCAAGCCCCAACTTAACAGAAGTGTACAGCACCAACAATATGAATACCACCAATCTAAGTTGGGCATAACTGGTCTTATTTCCACCTATAAATGGTGGTTGTGTTAGGTTGACAATCGACGTAAAATAAGTCTTTGATATCATGAATCCTCTAAAGTGCAATTGAACAATGAACTTGAATGACACTGAAACCCAGAATAGAATCAATGAGTTTGCGAATGTAACAAAATATGAAGCATGATAAGACACTTCGTTCACAAAACATAGCAGTTGAAGTTCCAATGCTTATTCCAGAACTGAGAAGCAAGATAAATAGGTGAGAACTCAATAAAGAAGTTGATCCTAGAAGTACCTCATGACTTCGGGAATAATTCTTAAGCAGTTTTATCAGATTCTCAGCTCCAAGGCAATCACTTGTCTGCAAAAGATTTGTAGTCTTTCCAGCTTTTGAAGAGGACTTCCAGCCCAAGTTTGACTTCTGTTCTTGGGTGCTACACTTGAAAGCAACTGCTGGTAATTCCTCTCGCAGATACTTTAGCCACTTTTCAGCGGCTTCCCGAGGAACAAGATCTAAATACAAAATCAAAAAGTAAATATTGGCATTCCTATGAACACCTAAAGAGTAAGACGTCAAACTTTCATATAAATAGAGTATAAATTAGCAGTTTGGATGTCTTAGTGACCTATATCAAAAAGAAGCAGAGATACATATTATATAGATATATTTTTAATCAAGATAAAGGAGGGTGCAAAAAAGATGCTTTTTATATAAATAAAAACACAACACCGATTTAATCACACACATGCTTTATCCGAAAAAACAAGTCCACTTTTTTTGTGCTCTCTATAAGTCACCTTCACTCATTCTGGTCGAGTAAGAACTCTACCTGATAATCTTTTACTTAAAACAGCACATATATGTGGATATTAGAAAATGATATACATGATAATATTAATAAATAAAATGAGGAAGGGGATACCAATTTTATTGAGGAGCAACACCAGATGCTTTCCAGGTCCTGATCTCATCACCATCTTTTCCATGTCAAGACAGCGTGTACCAAGCGGATCTCGAGCATCAAGCACTTCTAAAATGACATCAGAAGCGTCAATGACTTTGACTAACTCCTTGTAGAAAGCTCTTTCCGAGTTCTCTGCATGGATAAGCAAGTGTTAAAGACCAGGGAGAATTAAAAAAAAAAGCAAAACCACTACCACTTCTCCCTACAACCACCCATGACAAAAACAAAGAACATAATATGTCATACCACGGATTTTAACAAAATTAGTTGAATCATTGTTTCCCTTGCCCTCCATTAAATTCTGTTCTCCCGAAGCCATGTCAGCAAGTTCATTCCCACCATCATCCTCGACCACCCCTAGCTTTCTTTTCTTAGCCTGAAAACCAATGATATGGTAGTTAAACAACAGCCCAAATACCACAAGGAAATAAACTGCTGAACAACAGAAATGTAACATGCAAGAGAACCTATCCAGTGAAAGAGACCATTTTTCCACACGGTAAGTTGGGTTGGCTCTCAAACCCACCACTTCTAGGATAGTGTTCCAATGGAATTAAAACATCCTTAAATCAATTAACTCTTGCCAGATAACCAGTGAATCATGCTATGATTTCCATAAGGACAATCCAACATTTTATTTGAAGCCAGACGAATCAACAAGCATCACACAAAACAATCAAACCTAACAAAAGATCACTTTTTTATGATAGTCAAGTCAATGTATACCCCATTACAGTGCTTATAAACTTTCATCTACAGTATATCCAGTCAAGCATAGCATCAAAAACGTCTTACAACAATAACACCGATTATACCTAAACTAGTGTAGTTTAACAATATGCATTCTGCTCAATTTGGAATGCAATAAAAACAAATTACCCTCTCTTTTCGGGCAGCTTTCTTCTGCTCCAATTCCTCAAGAGCACGACGAGCCTCGAGGGCCTTAAGCTCTTGTTCCTTGAAGGGCCAATCATTGGGGATTCCTGGGTCCTTCTCCACCTTAGTCTTTTTGTTAATACCCAACTTTTTGGCCTCCTTTGCCTTTTTCTTGTGATGCTCTTTTACCTTCCTTATAATCTTGTGCTTCTGCTTCAATGATACCCTCTTGCTCTTACTCTCTGCAACACCCAAAAATTAACATAAAAAAATTTTCTAAATCAATATTAATAGAATAGAGTAGTTATTTGCTTACTCTTGCTTTTCTTCACCATTTTTGTTTGCTGGGAAAGAGCTTTAGGGTTTCAGAGAATGAAATGCACAATTGATTTTAGGGTTTAGGGTTTTGGAAGAAGAAGTAACCGAAGCGGGTAAAATAGGCAATGCATAAGTTTACATATATAGCCTTTTCTACGACTCTTATGTGCGCTTCATCTCAAGGGTATATTGGTCATTTAAGATTGAACTTCTTCCCAATTTAATGATTTCTTCTTCCTAAATTTCTTCTTCCTAATTTGAGATTTATAGAAGATTTTGTTGGAGCTTTCTATTTCAATCGATTCATAAATTGTGAGTTATCTTTATCCCTCTCTGTTCGATTTGATATTACTTCTCTTTGCGATTTAATTTCTGTGATATTTGATGAAATTTTCGTTTCTACTGGGTTCACAAATATTTTGGGCACATAGTTTTGACCAGGAAGTCATGAAAAAGATCAAACCCCTAAACTTCAGCACATAGATTTGCGTATGTGAAAATTTATGTTTTCGTATCATAATATCTTGTGGCTTTTAGGATCAAGTGCTCTGTTTTTGCGGTTTTCACTTATATATATAATAGAGAAAAATCAAGATGAAGTGAAAAACCCACTGAATGTTTAGCTTGTCCAGTCCTAATTCCTTAATGTTAATTGACCTCATGTGCATTTACTTTTGGTTTACTGTTTTTGCTGTCTAGCACTCTATCCTTTCCACCTTTAATCGAAAGTCAATTTGCCTAATTTTTGAAGTTAAATAGATTACATTAATTCGATATTTTAGATAAAAAAATTTAGATATTCAAAAACTATATAAAGAGTATTTTGAAGTGCAATTCTTTTACATATCAGTGTGATGAAAAAAAGCATCGTAACATGTTTGACTCTAAGAAAGGAAACCATGACAATTAAAAGTGGACGGAGGGAGTAGTATATAGCATGATTTGCTCAAGTCTTGTTCATTTTTATGCCTAAAATTTTTGTTGAAAATGTCTCAAGCTCTCTTTTTTTTTTTTTGTTTCTCTGTTGCTTTTGTCAAAAATGTTCCCATGACTCTATTCCTATTCTAATACATGCTCTAGTCTGTGGATACATAAGAATACTTACATCACTTTAAATTTTGCTTGGCTTTTGGTATACATGCTCTATAGCAAGAGGCAAAACACTATCAGATGAGAAATTCATTTTATACTTAGTCAACAACTAATAATTATGTGATTGAAAGAATAGCTTTATGATTGTCTGGTTTGGTATATCTATGTTTTATTTTTCCCTTTTGAAGACTCAAACTGAACCATGTTTACCCCTACAAGTATTTATCCAACTGGTTAAGCAACAAAAAAATTATGATGTGACTACTGTTTTTTTTTTCCAGGTAATACTGTATTAATCTTTTTTATGGACCATGATACAGGGTTTGATTTAATGGCCTTCAGAGGGCGGGGGCGGGGGCGGGGAGGATTTAATGGCCAACGGCTGGCTAAGCAAGTCTCATTTGAACTTTTCCCTGTAAGTGAAATCCTTTGGTTCGTTAATGTTATATTCTTCACACGAATTATGATACAATATATGTTTCTGGATGGGTAACATTATTTAATGAGCTTGGTCGCAAGTTTGAATGTGGGACGAGGGTTGTGATAGGTCCACTGTTAGATAAAATAATTGAACTATAATGAACCATCTGTATACCACATAAATAAAGCTGTATGAATCATATAGTTGACACAATTAATTTGAAATTGACGCATAGTTGATTAATATATTGATTTTGGAAATGGATGAAATTTTTGCAACTTTTGAAGCTGTAAAAACGTGTGCTTATGTTAGCGATCAATTTTTTTGTGAAGGTATAGGAAAAGTGGCTTCCGAAAGGATGATTTTCTGTTTTTTGGTTGCTATACAGTATATTCTATATTCAAGTGAAAACATTTGATATAAGCCCTGATTAATGTGTCTTATCACTTGTGTTACGGGAGGTTGAGATCATGTCCACTGTTCGTTTAGTTGATTTAACCTGGCTCATATTTTTTTGGTAGATATAATCCTAGCTGACTAATGTCTGTAATCACTAGAAGCCTGTTAGCTGAGATTAACTATTGAACTTGATAAAGATAGATCTCTTACTACTTGTGATTGAAAATGTTTTGAGCTTACTGTGGTCGTCTGGGTTGCAGATAACACAAAGCTTTCTACCTTTTGCAGGAACTTGAGAACTTGGGTAATGCAGCTGGTGTCACGGAAAAGATAAATTTGGCAATTTGGCAGGCAAGTTTACAGAAGTTCTGGAACTCCTCTCCTTATTATTTGGCAGATGAAAGTGATGTTTCGAAGAGTAAGAATTCAAATTCTTGAAACTTTTACTACTATTTGTGAGGAAATGTCATACAACTTGTTTAGCAATGGATAAAGCCACTTATTAAGCTATCTATACATACTATCGTTTTGTCACAACCCAAACCTGGCGGGCTATGACTAGCCTGGCGTCTGCAGTGCGAACGCTTAAGCTCTTAGCCCTGTATTTCTACCTTATCTGATACTCATATTTTTTGCATGCTGCTATACTAGCGTCTAGCAGATTGTCATTTCAACGAGTCATCATGGACTCTTCTTTCAGAGGATCTGTTTTTTCTTTTTGAAGATCCTGTTCTTACATTTTCTCCTCCTGAGAATTTGTGATGGTCAACAATGCAAATTAGGGAAGCTATATAATTCTGAAAGGAAAAAACATGAGGTTCAGGTGGTTGGTTCATTTCGAGTACAGTTTGGAAAACATTTTCTGTTAGAATGGTCAATCCTTCTGAAGTCTTTGAAAATTAATCATTCTCCATCTTGCATTATCTGATAATGATTATGGATTATTTGATGCTCCGGTTTATGTCCACAGTGCATAGTATCAGATTTCCGATCTCCTATAGCTGAAATACCCCTCTGCATGATTTGACATTTAATGTCTTGTTATTCTACGCCTGACATTCGGAACTTCAGATTACTTCATTATTTACGTGTTACTTTGTATGAGCCTTTGCTAGTTTTAGATTTCTGATCTTCTGTACATCACATATTATGTTTCTAGAAACGAAAATGGATATAGAAAGATTCTCGGATAAGAAGTCAGAGAGGGACAAGGCAAAGCCACCATTGGACAAATTCATAAGAATGGAGCCTGATTATGTTCCTGCAGAACTAGCTGAAGGTTTTATTCCTTAATTCTTAAATTCTTTGACATGTTGCTTATTCAGATCTCTTGAACCTATAATGTTTGCATAATTAGATGCGTTATGTGCTTATAAATATTATAGGTGGAAGGAAGAGGAGAGATAACACAGACGGAATGCGTTGGACCCCAGATTTAGGTAAAGTACCATGATTTGATTTTCTTTTCTATTTCATACAACAACAACTGTGCCTCAATCCTAATGGTTAGGATAATTGCCTTCCTTTCTCTTTCATATATAGATCTTCTTAACTGTCGACTGTCGAGTTGCAAATCATGTTCTCTGAACATACTATGCATAAAATCTTTACAGTTTGGTTTGTCAATAAAGTTATTTACCTTATCAAAAAAACAAAGCTTTTACACTTTGGTAATAGAAGTACTGATTTATAGCAAAGCTCTTTGAATAAACCTACATCAGAACCTCTAGCAAAGCATCATGAGTACATTGCCTGGCAGACATTGGCTTTGTATCACATGTACTTGGAGACACCCAAATAATGATCATTTGCAACTACATACCTGAACGTCCCATGTTAGCATATGGTGTAATTGCTTCAAGTTGAGTGTATCAATCCATTGATCAGTGATAGAGCTCTTTAAAGACACCAAGCTGGGTTTGGAACCTTGTTTTAACTTATGTGATATGCACAAGCGCGTCTTTGTCAATTTCAGTAGACACAATGTACTTGATCAATTTAGATGTCAAGAAAAAGAAATGTGGATGCTTTTCTCTCTTTTGCCTTCTGTTTGTTGTAATTTGTCGAGCTCATGAAATTGTTTTTTGCTGACAGACATGGGAAAATTGGATCTTTTGGAAAAGCTTGATCAAAAGTCTAAGGTTTTACCTTTGTCCATATAAAAAAATGTTTCCTTTGAGGTGTTTTAGCAAAAAAGGTTGACTTGTCTACTGTAATGTTTATCGTTTGAGTGTTATGTTTCTTTTCACTGCAAATGCATAGGGCGATGATGAAAAGAAAAAAGATGGTGAAGACGAGGACGAAGATCCAGAGGAGAAAGTTGGAGAGGAAGAAGAAGAATTTAGCGATGATGGAGATTACAATCAGGTTTGTGGGAAAACCTTGTGCTTCCCTAACTTGACTGACATATTAAGGAACTTGAAATCAGAGTGCTTTGTGTTCCTCTAGATTGAATTATACTTGCATTGCTTGTCAATTGTTTGTATATTGAAACTCTTGAACAATTATACAGAATCTTTATGATTACGATGACGATGAAGACGACTACAACATGAATGAAGATAATAATGGTATGATCCAATCTGCTGTTTCTTTTCTTCTTTTATATGATTCAGCAGTATTTGCTACTTCTTATTGCTCTCCTTTGCAGATGATGCCATGTATTGAGGGTTGCTTGGTGGAGTGATTTTTGCTTACTGGTATTCCGTGAAATCAGTCGAGGTGCGCAAAAGCTGGCTCGAATACTCCTTGTAAATTAACAACTATTTAATTCAAGACAATCTAAAAAGCACTTATTGTGGGTCACAGCTTTTTCTTCTTTGTTTGGGCAGCATACCCTCGTGTCTCATCTCCTATAGTTAGGAGCATTTGAAAGAGTATTTTCGCCGCGAAACATAAATTTATGTTTTAAAGAAATTAAATTTATAATAAATTATAAGCCTGAATCAATAAATTTTAAAATACAATTTAAAAATCATAAAATTGAATCCATAATGTATAAATCTTGTACCCACAATTAAGTATAATAATACTTTTGACTCTATATATCTTTAATATTTCACTAATTGTACAAAGTATGTTGAGCTATAAACGTGTCGAGCACTTCTCCATATAAATGTACTAAAAGAAAACACTCTTTCAGAAATACCAATTCATGTAATACATTTTTTTTCTTTTATAAATATTAGTACGTCGACATTAACCGTTGAAGTTTATGAATTTTAAATTAAATTTTTTTTTAACTAAGTTAATACTATAATATATTAATAGATATAATTAACATCGACACTGCTTATAAAAAATTCGTAAAACGCGTTCTCTCTCACACAGCTTTAACCAAACATTCCTCCAAACCCTCAAATCCATTAAATCTCCATTTTCTACGGATAATTTCAATAAAAAAAAAAAAAAAGAACATGCTGCCATCACCTATCCTTTCTGACTCCAGCTAAACAAAAATGGATCATTTAGAGAGAGAAAAAAAAAACAATTCATTCAAATTTTAATTAATTAGCCAAAGACAGATAATTCCTAATTATATACATATATTTATAGAGACCATCTTCCATTAATTTCATTCTTGGGTCTCTGCATTTTCATAAACAAGACCCGTATTTTCTTGAGTCTTTTTATAGCAAGCAACCTTTATGTCTTCAACATATTATTTTTTGTAATAGGAAGAAGAAGAAAAAATAGGATCAAGATTGGAGAACTTGGTTGTTTTTTTTGTTGTTCATTTTTTAGAATAAAAGACATGAATTGTTTTTCATGTTTTTCGTTTAATGAGAATAAAACATCTAATAATAAAAAGAAAAGAAAAGAAACATCAACTTCTGTTCATCCTCATAGAGAAAATCTATCACCAGAACAAGCACAGCCTTTTTCTAAGACAAAGACGCAACATAAGCCACATTCTCAACCGCCGCAACGAACACATCCAGGTACAGATTCAGAATTTAAATTTGATTGAATAATGAATTGTACTAATCCACATATGTCTCTCTCCCATCAATCGGTACTAGTTGAAGTAATGAAAAAATCCCCTTTCCTTACAGTCAAGTGGCTTTCAGTTCAATCTATATTAAATGTTTATATTCGAGTCACTAATAATTTCGAAATTATAGGTTCAAAATTATTGTTTATTGAAAATTCAAAGTTTAAATTCTATGTGTTTAACTTTTCATTGAAACAAACCTCTTTGTTTCGATCGAAATTTCAAGCTATATGTTCCATCTATGTTATTGAGGGTACCAACAAGTTGTTATTTGGAATTTTATGTATTCAAAGTTTAATATTTATTGAATTTCATGGTTAAATTTAATTCTTCAATCTATCTAATTCGAGCTATATCAAAAAATATTGAGTTTAGCTAAATTCATCCTATGGCCGTTTTTTCATCTATGTTTTTTCATTATCTGACTCGTGATAAAAGTATTGAATTCAGTTTAATTCATGGGATCGCAATTTGCATTGCATGATCAATCATTTCAAACTAATTGTGTGTGTTTATATCAATATTTTTTCTTGTAATAAATAAAATATTTATAATTTTCAGAAAATATAATAAACCAAACGGTTGGTAATTATAAGAAGGATGAAGAAAACAAGAATATTGCAGCTCAAACTTTCACTTTTAGAGAACTTGCAACTGCTACAAAGAATTTCCGCCAAGAATGTCTAATAGGTGAAGGTGGATTTGGAAGAGTTTACAAAGGTCACCTTGATAGAACTGGCCAGGTAATTCTTTTTTTCTTTTTTTACACAAAATACAAAATTAGTTATCGTCATGAAATTTCAAATTTCGTGATAATATTACCTATGGAAATTAAAATTCCACGACAATGACTATTTTTCAGTATTTACATTAACGTGGCTGACTACAGGTTAGTTCGCGCTATTACTATCACAATGAGGTGATGACAAATAAACGATTTGAATTACATTTTTAATGAGTTTAAATGAATTGAATTAATAAATTATTAAGTAATTGTTTGTTTTCTTTTTTCATTATTATCGAAAATAGATCACGTTGTCAATCAACAAGATTTCTTGAATCAAAATATGAGTCATAATCTAATTGTCCTATCTCACAAATTTCTAGTTTTATTATTTTTTCTTTTCATAATGTCTATTTTACCAACCAGGACATATGGAACATTTTTTTTTCTTTCTTTATTATGATTATATATAACATATCTACCGAAAATGTCATATACTTAGCCTTAAATCATATCAAATTTTAGATAAGATAAAATTTGAGCAATTCAAGACAGATTGAGTTAATAAATTGAACTATTCGATCTCAAGAATTAATTTTGCTACCCCTAATATATATATAAAAATAATTTAATCCTATCGTAAAAATCAAAATCATAAATTTAAAATTTTTTGAATTGATCTCGAACCATTTGTACATTATTATTTTTGTTTTTCAGGTTATAGCAGTGAAACAGCTTGACCGTAATGGATTACAAGGAAATAGAGAATTTCTTGTAGAGGTGTTGATGTTGAGCCTTCTTCACCACAATAATCTTGTCAACCTCATTGGTTATTGTGCTGATGGAGAACAAAGACTTCTAGTTTATGAGTATATGCAACTGGGAGCCCTTGAGGATCATCTATTTAGTAAGTTTATGTTTTATGCACTCGTAAAAAATATTTATACAATCGCATCACTTTATAAAGTAAGTAATAATATAGGAAGAAATCGAAATTTAACATAAAAAAAATTATTTTTTCACCTTATGTAACCCTGGCTCCGTCCATGTATACAATAAAGCAAGATATTAGTTACCCCTCCCCCCACCCCCCTTAATAAATTATTTTTTACATCGCGAATTAATGTATGGTGGGATACAGATTCTCATTAATATAAAGAGAAATTACGTAATTTTCTGTAAACATTATTATTTTTTTATTGATTTGATCAAAATATTTATGGGAATTGTTATTTAACATTTGTTGATTGTGACATTATAAGTTGGATCCCGTTTGCATTACTGCTTTATATTTCGAACTCCTATATATGTTATATTAAACTAATCGATGTTGAATTATTATTATGATTATTATATATTTAGATGTTTCAGGAGAAGGAAGTCCATTAGATTGGTTTACAAGGATGAAAATAGCATCCAATGCAGCAAAGGGTCTAGAATATTTACATCATAAAGCAAATCCACCAGTCATATATAGAGACTTGAAATCCTCAAATATTTTATTGGATAAAGAATATAATGCTAAATTATCAGATTTTGGTTTAGCAAAACTTGGACCAATGGGTGATAATTCACATGTATCTTCCAGAGTTATGGGAACTTATGGTTATTGTGCTCCAGAATATCAAAGAACAGGACAACTTTCTGTTAAATCTGATGTTTATAGCTTTGGTGTTGTTTTATTGGAGCTAATTACTGGAAAAAGAGCTGTTGATCCTACTAAAAATGGACATGAACAGATCTTAGTGGCTTGGGTAAGTTCAATCATTTTCCCTTCTACTCTATTTTTTTTAATTTTCATCATCAAACACTAGCGAAATCACAATTTTATGTTGAAGATTCGAAACTTAAATGGATGGTCTATAACAAATTTTTGAATCCCCTTTTAAATATTTGTTTATGCAAAAGGGATTCAACAATTTATATATAACCAGAAAACAATTATGTGTACAATTTTTTTAAAGAAAAAAGATATTTAATTGAACTCCTTAGCTTTATCTAGATAGAATACAATGTTTCACTTTAGTCTTATACTTGATTTTATAAACATATTTGTTATATCGTCAGTGTACAAAACTTACATTTAATACTATTATTCTCAGGCGGAACCAATTTTCAAAGATACAAGTAGATATTCAGAATTGGCAGATCCGTTATTTAAAGAAGATGTTCCAAAAAGAAGTTTTAATCAAGCGGTTGCGATCGCTGCCATGTGTCTACAAGAAGATCCGACCGTTCGTCCATCGATCAGTGACGTGGTTACTGCTCTCACATTCCTTTGGGCCGAATCGGGTAAAGGGTTCGGGTCACCGGTTTCTCCGGTTTCTACCTCATTGCCCGTTTCATCGTCTGATAATGAAGAAAGTCATGAAGAAAAAAAGATTATAGAACGAGAAAAAGCGGTTGCAGAAGCCATTGAATGGGGTTCGAATTCAAGAACTCAAAACGAAAGACTACCATAATCTTTCATAGTGACATACGTAAAATTTTGCGCAAACTAAAACAATATTATCGATTTAATGTCATAATTGTTCGACCTGTAATTGTAAGTGAGTTCTGAGACTATATAGAGTGGTCTTAAAGACTTTATTAATTACTTGATATCTCAAAATTAATATTTATTTTCTACGTTATTATTAGAGTCCGTTGGAATTGACTTAAAAAATAATAATTTTTTTAAGTGCTGGAAGTTATATTAAAAATATGTAATTATGTGTTTAGTTAAAAGTATTGCAAATGAAAATTTTTTTATTAATGTGTCTGTCGAATAAGTGTTGTTAAACACTTGTCTTAATTAAAATAAAACTATTAACATAATAAAAAGTTTATTAAGATAAGATTTTTATTTCTAAAATTAAAATAAAATTAATTTATATTTTAATTCAGTTTCGATAATTTAATATTTAAGTAAATTTTAGATGTGCAACTTATTTTAAATTTTAAAAATATATAATTTGTTCTATAGCAACAAGCTGATATTGTGACCACAGCTCTGAGCAACATTTTGTATGTGTTCAAGATAAGTTTCTATACATAACATTACAATAATAATTAAAAAAAAAAGTAGTATTCCCGAGGTGATGATAAATAGATTTTAGGGGTACCATATGATTTACTTGAGTCAAGCTTACCTTTACGAAATAACGTCTCTATTTATTTGTCTATATTTGAATTAACATATTTATTAAAAAATAATTAGTGACACAGTAAATTTATCATTTTATCCTTTTTAATTATAAAGTAGATAAAAAATTATATATTTTTTAAAGTAATTAGTCATTTAATTGAGGGTTCAATAAATAAAAAAAATAATGTTTTCTTAATATGTCAAATTGAACAAGTAATTACAGATAATTATAAAAAAAAACTAAATAAATAATTAGGAACACAGAGAGTTTTATTATAGTACTATTTAATAAAAAGAATCTGAACGTAATTAAAGAAGCCCAATCAACACCATGAATGAGAGAATTAGAAGAGAAGAGAAGAGAGGGACATTTATTTTCTGTATAAAGAATTAAGAACTTACACGAACAGAAAATAGCTACTTATATAGTTTTGTAACTAATTTTTAAAAAATAATTATAACAACTTTACTAAAAAAGATTAATCTACCCTTTTCTGTTGTTAACTAATATCAACCCTTGTCTCACCTACTTCATATGACAACAGAATTTAATACGTACAGCTAGCTCAATTATGTTTCTCTGAAATTCATAAGATAGAGCACATGCTTATCGTATTCAATGTACATGACAATAATGCTTAAATAATTAAAGGGCCACCAACTTAAATATTGTATTATTTATAGGTCACATATTGTATCTTCTTTATGAAAATAATACTACTATATACTTGCAATCTTTTTATTTTTTTTGAACAATCAATTAGCTAGACAAAATAAATTACACAATGGCAAAGGTTGGAGGATCCAGATGGTCACTTAATCGTTTGGTGGCTCTTGTCACTGGAGGCACTTATGGAATTGGGTGAGTATTTAATTTCTATAACGTTTAAATTCTAGATATATATTGATAGTATAAATATGTTTAGATATATCATGTTAACATACACAAATAAGATACAATGTCTGCGGTTAGTGATTTCTAAAATAAATTATCTTTAATCGATGGAAAAATATAGGCGAGGAAATCAACAAAATAAATTCGTTACACGAAAAAAATTTATTAAATTAAAAAGATTTAGTTCACTATCTATATTTCGGTCTTAAAAAATCTATTATTTAATTGTAAAACATATAGCATAAATTTTCTAAAAAAAATTCTTGGAGCTATTTTTTCAATCTTGCATTGTTAAAGTTTGATTTACGTGAGTGATAACAACTCTTAACCTTTAATTAAATGCAAAACGTATGATAAGTATCATAAGCATGAATCATGATGTTGGAGCTATTTTTCAAACTTATTGTATTAGAGTTTGAATTACACTTCCAAAATTCATTATACTGGTCGGCAATTACACTTAAATAAATTAAATTATATATTATATATATAAACCAATATTTTGAAATTGCACGTGAAAAATGTCAAAAAATAATTTTAAAAAAATATATAAATAAATAGATAGATAGATAAAAGAGAGCGAGAAATTAGTTGGAGTCACGTGAAGTTGCTGACTTAAAAAAAAAGAAAGGAAAAAGACAACATCCTTTGATACTCTTTAGATATGAAACTTATAAAATAAAAAGATATTTATAAAAATTTATGCTTTGAAACAAGTATGGTATAAATTATTTATTAAATATAAAATAATATAAAAATTATTATTAAAGATAAAAAAAAGTATTTTATTTTTAGATCGATCAAAAAATATACAATAGTATATTCACAGTAGAATTTCAAAAGTAAAATTTTGAAAAGAATTAGAATGTTATATATTATATTCCTATTCATTATAATAATAATAAATTTTTTGAGTAGATTCTCAGCTTAAATAAAGCATTTCAGAATAGTTTAAAAAAGACCCGGCAACTCAAACTATTTTTACATTATTGAATGTACTGTTAAATTAAATAAAAATGTCATTTATTATACTATAATCTAAAAATATCCCTATCATCAAATACTTATACGTATAACATACTAATAAGTTATAAATATCCTTTTTTCCAAATAAATTTATATACAAAGGCCACTAAGATTCTTATAGTTAAAATTGAAATATATGTTATACTAATATATATAGTCTTGTAAGTACAATAAACTGAAGAATATGACAACACAAGATAATCTTAGTACTATTTATAGGATACTTATACCTTACTTGAAAACATACGTAATTTCTACTTACAAAATACCTTGGGAGCTAGCTCGAGTACGTAATTTCTACTTAATTTCAATTTTTTGAGTACGTAATTTCTACATAATTTCAATTTTTCAAGTAGAATATTTTAGATCATAAATTTAAAAAATATTGTAATGTATAGTTGATATAATTTTAATTTAGGATGGATTTTATTATTTTAATATATAAAGCCCAACACTCTGGAAAAAAGCAAATTCATACGGTACCTCAAAAATCTGTAATAATACATGAACTTTATCGTTGAATTAGTTTGAAGTATAAAGTACAATAATTTTGGAATAAAATATAAATTTATTTTATTTTGTATTTGGCTAGAGGTATTAGTTTGATTACCTTTAAATTATTTATCTCACTATTTCTATTTTAGTGATATGATTAAATAATCATTTTATATATATCATTTATTTTAGTGATATAATAAGTTTTTTACATAATAAAATAATTTTCTCACGATAAATTATCTTAAAATAATTTTTTTGACCTAACGATCCAAAGTTTCTTCGTTCTTGTAGGTCCATTGTTATGATAAGCATAACTTTGACAATTAAAGATACGTGTAAAATTTTAAAAAGATTATCAAAAAATGGATTAAATGGTGCACAGTAGACATGTTTACACACAAACTTTAAAATGGTGCATAATAAAATACATGTTCATAAGCAAACTTCAAATTTGAAAATATAAAATTTTGACCGTATTATTCTAAAATTTATAATGGAAGGGGAATTTTAAGATTACAATTAATTTGTGAATCCAAAGATTAACCAATTATAAAAACATAAAAATATAAAATGTCAATTTTATCACCTGGGCAATAAGTTTAAATATCGTAGTGTGGTACGTACCCTTCACCAAATAAATGACTCTCAAATAATTAAAAAGATGTGTTCCACGTTCTTTTGTTAACTAATAAAATAAAATAATTATAATCATATAATAAGTGTCACATGCATGTATTTTATAAAAATAAAAAATAAAAAAATGGAGATATTTTTCAAGCTTGCACTATTAGAGTTTTGATTTATACTTCCAAAATTCATTGTATTGGCCGGCAATTACACGAGGACTCTTTGTGGTTCGGTTTGAATCGGGTATTGATTAAAATTAAAACTAAATTAATTTAGTCATTTTTTTAAATTTCTAAAATCAAACCAAACCAGATGAAACAAAAAAACCATCAGTTTGGTTATTGTCGATTTGATTCAGTTTTTCTGGTTTATTCGATTTGAAAGTAATAACTTGTTATGAGGATGTACGTATCTCGATAGACACAAACACTAAGTACATGAACAATGTCGTTTCAGTGAAGTAATTAAGCAACATTAGAGTTATCGTTACACGAATAAAGTGTTTCATTTAAGAAAAAGTGTGACTATTTTATATGAAGTACAATAGGTGAAGACTAAAATAGATTTTGATGGATTTCAATTTGAGATTGTTATACTTGGGCTAAAGTGTTGGGCTTGAGAAAATGGTAAAGTTAAAAACTTAAATTAATTAAAATTCAACAAAATATTTTTATTTTATTTATGAATAATATATAAATAATTATAAAATTTATGTATCTAATTTATCAGTTTGATTTTAATTATTTTTACAATTATTTTTTAATAAAATCAATATATCGTTTGAATTATTACAAATACTCCTTCAACGTCAGTGTCACGTGAAGTAGTGGGACTTAAACACTTTTGATTGGATCTGGGATTTAAAAAATAAAAAGATAGTATGAATTATGTTTTTGATTTGGATTTGAAATTTAAATTAAAAGATAATATAAATTATCTCACTACAGATAAAATGAATATTATAAAGGAAAATTATTATTATAAAAAGATAGAATACATACATTGTACCATTCTTATCTCGTAAAAAAATTATTTTATTCTACTAGATTTTTAATATAAATAAAACATTTTAAAGTAGCTCTTACCAAGAAAACTCAAATTTTTATTACATTATTGAATATATCGTTAAATTATGTGAAATGAAATTAAAATACTTTCTATTATATATATATAAAATCTAAAAATATCTTTACCATCAACAT